AAAGAATCATCATTTACATACTGTAGCAACCTCACACAAGGTTAACTCTTCATGGCAGACACGTGTGTTTTTGGTGGGTCGTCTGGCCAAATTGTCAAAATCCGGGCGAATCCGGGGAAATGCTTGGCTGCCACATTCGCCTCAATTATAGTCCACGTGGAGCTAGCAGCCCGATACTCAGCCTCCCACCCACAGCAGCAGAGACATGAAGGCGGCCTGGCCCGTGGGGTCAACCTCAAGTCCCGAGCATCTCTGGCCATCTGCGGTGGTTGCGGTACTTGGCTGATTCATCCATTGCACTTCGGCGCTGTCGGAAGATATCCAGTACATCATCTATGGGAAATTTGCGTGGTCGGCCATATTGGCTATAAGCACGGGTGAAAGAACAATAATATGCGCAAGAAGCACAATAATGACCAAAGGCTTCCCGTCCTTTGCAACAGTCAGCCGAGGATGACACACACACACAATAACAGGAAGGACGCCACGCAAACAAATCTGCTAAGCGCCGGTCGCCTGGGATAGCCTCAGCACGCCATGTTTGGCATGATCAACATGTCCGGGCTGCATTCCGCTTGAAAGTAACGGTGGCGGCAACGGATGCCACATGTCTGAGCCTCACTGCAAACAGATCTGCTGCTCAAAGTGCGTGCTTGTTGACATGTAGGAAACTCCCCTGTTGGCTAAGCATACGAAAGCAAACTATCCTTCTTGCTCATTGCGTCCTAAGCCTTTTCTCCCACTCCAGCACCCAAAAGCAGTGCGTTTCACGCCCAGCGTTCCGATGGAGCCGATGTGCAACTTGTCCCCAAAAACGTTGCCACTCTTGGGAAATCATCCAAGTGGCCTTGCCCAGGGGATCCAATGGAGTTCATTCTTCGATTCTTGGAGTGGTCTTTTCGGGTGGTGGGGGAGACCCCGCCAATTTCAGGCACCGCAGACTCTAGACCTCCACTTCACACTGAGGCCGACGCAAGCTTGGGCATGAAGTCCAAAGCCCCTTGCCTAAGGTGTATCACAATCAGGCTTGTCTCGCAGTTGCGAGGGAGATGGCGGCCAGTAGAACAAGGGTCATCGAAACTGAAAGGACTCACGCATGTCAGGCTTGCCCTGTCCTAGGCCTAACTTAAGAGGAGCTTTTAAAGAAAGATCAAGACAATTTCCCAGCCAAGTTCAAACTTCCCGCTTTGCCTTCTTGTGGTACCCTTTTTGCGCGTGTCCACCAAAAAATATCTCACACCGAAGCCGAGAAATGCCTGAGGCCCAGGCCAAAGCTTTTCAGAGGGCGCAAAGACAACCAGAGACGCCAGCAGAATCACTAGAGGGCTGGGCTCTGGTGCCTGGCCACAGAAGCTTCTGACAGTTCCCAGTCCTCTGCCAAACAAAGACTTGGTGACCATCCTGCTGAGCAACAAGGAATCTGTGGTTGGGGCCAATGTGCAAGCAACTGCTCGATTTGCAAGGACCCTCCTTAAGATTTGGCATCGGGTTTCACCGCCAATTTGGGGGATTTTACATTAACAGCACGTTTGCTCTGAGAGAGTAGTGGCGTCAATGCAAATAAAGGACTGACATGTGGATTGGGTTTGGAAGACGGTGTGGCTTTGCATAGAAAGCGTGGCTTTGCAAGCCGCATGTCCGATTGAAGCTGCTTGCAGGTCAAGGGAGCAAGCACCTTTCTGCGAGATGAAGCACCACACTATGTTCCAGTAAACAAAATGCCCGACCGCGCCAATTGCATTGCAGCCTGAAAAGTATAGTACATGAGCGGAATTTTCGTGAGAAAAACAAGCATGTCTACAAAACTATTGGCAAGCCTGCACGTGCATTGCTTTTCTGCGACTGCCCATTGACTGGAATGGGTCGTTTCCCCCCCCGACACAAAGCTGTGCATGTGTGTTGGTTCCAGGGCTAGGTCCGGGGTGAGGAATCAGGAAACCTTTGTCCGCCCACGTGGCAAGACTCTGGAGCGACTCCTTGCGCAGTCCTTGGCTCCACAAAACCTCCGGCGAAGGCACCTTGCTGAGAAGAATGAGCAGCATCATCTTGGCGAACCAGGTTCCTTCAAGCGCCTGCGCAAGGGTCAAGATGAATTACTGCTGAGCTGCTTGCACATGCCCGATGTGTAACTGAATTTGATAGAAATGGCCTCTGACCTTGAAGAAGGCTCCTATCTGAGGTCGATCTGCAACTTCCAACTCAAGATCCCTTTGCGGAGTCCCTCAAGAAGAACCGGCCAAGCCTTCGTGGCATCCTTCGAGGGTTCCACGTCTGATTGCTTAAACCCAGGTTTCCCTTTCTGCGTTTCAGCTACTATGCACGGACAATCATACCCTATTGCCCCGTTTGCATGTGTTGCTTCCGCCTTTTTTTCTGAACCCTTTGACAAAAAGGGACACCAACAGGATAACCACCATTTCGGGGACCATTATTTTTGTTGCCTCTTGGACGGGCATCAGGAGCTCTTTGATCCGCTGCTCCATGACCACCAGACCAAGCAGCCCGCCCAACACGGCACTCGCCGCCACAGCATTGAACGCTGCGCTCCTGGACGACTGACCGAGCAAATGCAAACGCGTCTATGGGCGGTGAAAGCGGAAAACGGAGAATACGTCTAGGCATTGTTTCGTTGGCCTCCGCTCCGCCGCTCCGCCTATTGCTCGATGAAATGAAGCAGTGGGCACCAAAAGGCTTTGCGCTTCTGGGGACCTTTTCTCAGGTTCAGCTGCTTCACCAGACCTTCATGCCAGGTTCGAATGATCAACCTCGCTACATTTCCTGAATCAACCGTTTGTCCAGCTTCAGGACTACGCTTGGGAACTAACCGGAAGGGGGATGCTGTAACTCAGTGATTGCTTCTGGCATGCCGGCACTTCCGGCTTGCTCTGCTTTTTTGCCAGGGCCAATCCCTTAACTGCTGGACAACCAAGATCCAATGTTCTGTCAAGGTGGTTACCAAGGATTTGACAGCCCAACAGAACTCCTTCGGAGTTGATACATGTGCTCAGCGATAGACTTTGAACAAATTGTGGCCCAAGGACCCAGGGTGGAAAAAAGCAACATGACTTCCTTACATAGTAACTAAATCTAAAACTGCTCACAGGTTACCTTCAATAAGCAGTTCATTGACTCCCCACACTGACATGGTGCAAGAAAGTAAACTACCACAAACAGTAAAGTCTGCCATACCCGCCTACACAAGTTGAACAGCCAAAGGCGTTGGGCAGGAACATATGCATTTGTTGTGATGCGCATGCAGTCTGTGAAAAAAATGCATACACAAACACACACACACACAAACAAACAAACAAACAAACAAACAGACAGAAAGACAAACAAACAAACAAACAAACAAACAAGCAAACAAAGAAGCCGACACAACCACCAAATCATTCAGAAACGCATTCCACAAACGCAAACACACAAACAAACAAAACATCCATCGATCGATACATCAAACAAACAATCAAAAAAACAAACAAACAACCAAACAAGCAAGCAAGCAAACAAACAAAACATAACAAACAAACAAACAAGCAAGCAAGCAAAACAAACAAACAAACAAACAGACAGACAAACAAACAAACAAACAAACAAACAAACACACAAACACACAAGCAAAAAAACAAACAAACAAACAAACAAACAAGCAAACAAACAAACAAACAAACAAACACACAAGCAAACAAACAAACAAACAAACAAACAAGCAACCAACCAACCAACCAAACAAACAAACAAACAAACAAACAAACAAAACACACACCACCACACAACACCACAAAACACGACACGACACATCCGACACAACAAACAACACAACAACCACCCCATACACACACACACACCCGCCCGCCGACCCGCCCACAACCACACGCATACAAACACACACTCGGCCACCCGTGCACACATGCGCGCTTGTAAGCACTCGACTTGTGTGTGTGTGTGTGTGTCTGCGTGTCTGCACGCAACAAATGCAACATAACAACATGATCCGTGCCTCTGCCCTGGCTGTTTGTTATTTCGCTTAACCCGGCCTCGGCATATCGCCAGTGCAAGAAAATCTCAACAACTGCTAAGATCGGCACGTCATCTTGAGCCAAATGCAAGCCCACCAGGCAGCTGCAACGCTCACAGCATCCACACCACTTGCTCAGTACACTACTGGCTTGTTCTGCTGATGAATACTTTCCAGGCCCATGGCCCATGCCTTCCAAGACTAGAGAAGATGACAGCTGCAGATACTATTCACGGGATGCTGCGGGATATGGTACATCTAAGATCAATCCACTCAGCGGTGCTGTGGCATGCTCACACGCAGCTTCAGACTCCTCTTGTTGTGAGATCCGGTTGTTTGTTTTTTAACTTACCGAACTCTTGTCAGCACCAGCAAACTCAGCAGACTTTCATACAACCCTCCTGGTCACAAGAGCATCTCAGCATGCAACTGGTCAATCTCGAACTTATTTGTACATTGCCGATAGCTGGGCCTGGAGCCAGATAATGGATCTGGTTCCTGAACGATGAGTTCAAGATCAATAATGCTGACTTCGGATTTATCTGGACCGTAATTATCATGGGTGGCTCCCTGTCTGTAAGGAAATCATCTTTTGTAGGGGGTTCCTTTGACTAGCAGAGTCCTCCAAATAAATTCAAAGTTAACACAAATATATTGTATGTATATGTTGACCCCTCTGCAAAAAGTTTAACCTTCGGTGGGTTCAATGGAAAGCCTTTGCTTTTCCAAGCAATCAAGAAGCAAGACCATGATAGAACATGTCATTCTTATCCTACAGTCCACTGAAGCTCACCCTCAAAGAAATGAGAGGATCATGAAGAAACTCGGACATCCCTTCCAAAGTTGCAAATCTGTCCAACCCAGCTGCCACTCCAGTCTGGGACGGCCTGAACCGTTCCTAATTAGTGTGCTTCCAGAATCTCCCATGTTCAAAGGGACAGGAAATCCTAGGGCCACACCCTTCGATCTCAGGACCCCTTGCCAAAGACCGTCTTATCCTGCGCGAAGAAGGCCACAGGGGTGCCCACCTGCTTCGTGGCTTCGCTGTTTCCAAGTCACAACCAGTTGACAGGAGAAGGAAAGCACCAGTCAGGCTGGGAGACACCATGGCTATTGAAGAAGATGTCTAGACACCTGTGGTTTCTTGAAACCTTTGCACAAATGTGGATTGATGAATGTGATCCCATTTAGAGCGGACCCGCTGTCAACCAAGACTGCATGTGGACCTTCCTACAACAACCTGCTTGGCTGGTACATGCCAAACGCCCCCCGCTGCTGAGTGGTCATGCAGACCAGCCGGTTCTGCTTTTCATGGGTAATTCCCAGTTGCCCACCGACCCCGGTAGAAAAAGGGAACGGAGCAAAGGGTTCCCAACGCGCTACCCCTGACATCCCTCTGCCAAGCATTCAACAACCGGCGAAAGTAAGACATAGCTAGTCCCCGCAACTGGCTGGCTCGCTTGTTCAATGATTTGTTTCAAGAACCTTGCGGTAGTGCTGCCACTGTGGGTTGCTTCAAATGGAGGAAACCTATCAAGTGGGTGGGTTTCCCTTGAAACAATCCTGCAAAACGGGGTAGCGACTCCAAACAAAGACAGACCCATAACCCACACGGGTGTGGGCCCGTGTTTTGGTGGTAAAGGGAAGCCAGGAGGAAACCACCATTTTGGGGGTCCCCGAAAAAAGAAAAAACAAAGACACGCCCATATGGGCATAGCAATGCATCTTGAACTGTAGCCCACCCTACGACGGAGAAGGTTTTGAGCTGATCCTCCAGCCTCGATCTCTGAAGACGGCAGCTCCGGGCTCCTGTCATGGATCGGGTTGGATGTTAAATGGTTTCCCCGAATCACTACTCCCAAGGGAACATAGGGCAAAAAGCCACTGCTTAAACATTGAACACTGGTTAGACAGTTGTAGAACCCGGGGTGTGTGGTTTGGGGCCACTGGCAGCCAACTTAGATTCCAGTTTGCAACGCTAGGACATCCTTAGAGCGACCTGACTGGTGCTGACAGCCAAGACATGTGCCTAAGAACAGCCAAGAAGCATCGCCCTTTTACAGGCGTAGCTAGTTGCAATACACACCTAGCCGTTCAGCCATTGCTATGGCAACACAACCTTGGAGAACTCGCGGGTAGAAACATGCGCCAGCCAGTATCAAGCTCACCACCCAGGACATCTCATTGGCTCAGGCTCATTTTAACAGCGGGGACGTGATGCCCCGCATCTTCCTCGAAGCACCCACGTTTCGATTTTTTGCTGAGTGAGTACAAAAGAATATAAATCAAACACTAATCGAACAACCTTAGAATACTTAGAACTCAAAGCAAACAGATTGGAGCAGCCCGCCCGTCAGACTTCAAGAAATCATGGCCGTGGCGGGTTTTCTTCCCTTGAAAACAACGCAATCATACTATTCCGGACCGAAGCAACGGGCCAGCATGTTGAAACATGCCGACACACAAAAAACAACACATGTACAGTATATATATGTATAGCGTATGTGCGCGCATACACACACACACACTCATGCATGCATACATCGATATATTTATGTATACATATATGTATAATATATCCAAATGCATATGTGGTCAGAGCCCCCCCCCAATGATCTCCTTCTTGCTTGTTGGAGTCCTTTCAATCAGTCTTTGTGTATTGACAGTACACATTTTTAATTCCAGACTGCCTGCTATCGTGGTGGCATTGAGTTGTCGACTGATGTTTCAGATGCAGAATCATGAAAGCGTGCAAAACCCCTGACCGGATTCTCGTCTCTGGGGGCATTCCTTGTTGAGTTGGGCATGCTAGCAAACCTGCGTTGTTAGAGTAGTTTGTGCTCTACGCTTGCAAAGTAGAAACAAGCACGGTGTTGCGTTTTTTCTGACATGCGCAATAAATAAACCACATGTAAGCTCAGTTTGACTATTCCTAATGCATGCAAGTACTGTTAATGCAGAATTTAATCATTTCAATGTAAACCAGTAAACAACGACGTGGAAAACCAGAAAACCCAACAAACTCGAGAAAACAAAAACAACAATCTCTGGTGGAGAATGATGGCTTCAGCCACAAACTCTGTGTTTTTGGGGGTTGTTTTGTTTGATGTGGTGTTCCCCCAGCTGCTTTGTGGTGCTGTTTTTCTGGTTGATTGAAAGCATCCCTTTCAAAACACAAACAACTCGGAGATGTTTGTGCTTGAAGGCCAAATGTCCACAAACCTTTTTTACTGAATAATGCAGAAAGGCAACTAAACAACTCTGAGGGAAAACACAAAAATAGAAACCTGGAGAAAACAACAAAAACAAAATGTGGGGCTGAAACCAAAGATCCCCCAGAGTTGTTTTGTCGGTTCCCTCGAGTTGTTTTTTGGTATCCCTCAGTGTTTCTATTAATTGCATTGTCCCGCGCAAAAACAAAACAAAGTCGTGGCTGTTTGTTTTCTTCCTTCTGACACAGAACACCGACAACAAAAAGTGGTTTTTGGCTTGTGGGCATTGTCCATCGAGTTATGTTGCTTGTGTTGATATCTACTCCTTATGTTCTTGCTGAAGGTGCAACCATCTTGCTTCCATATGCATTGAAATATTTTCACACTTTACCAGCAGTCCGCGACATCAGTCTAGATTGGACTGAAAAGATCCTTCTTCCCAAATAGGACTTTGATTAAACAAATATTGGAATCTCAGAAGAATTCAATAAGGAAAAAGTTGGAATCAAATTTCGATGCTAGAGCAGAATTCAACAGCTGGCGCTAAGTTCTTGGCTCAAGCCTCACAGGGCTCCTTATAAGGCTCCTTATAAGGCTCCTTACAAGGCTCCTTTGTAAAGAATAATGTATTCCCAAACATGATGTTCATGTTGACATTGTGTCTTATTAGAGGGACATAGTTTGATCAAACAATCAATGTTAACTTAGAATGTTAATATGAACTTCCTTGTCCCAAATGATTTCAATAACGATGATTATAATTCGAGTATACTTGAATAACACTGGGCTCTGGATAGAAGTTCTATGTTGAAAATCGCACTCCACAAATGGGACACAGTGCACAAAACAAACATTAATGATATGCAATGACCTACAGGTGGGACATCTCAGTTAGCATCTCTATGCAGAACAACAAATGTTAAGATGATATTACTTCTAACCATGATTTGCGTTTTAATTGCTTTTTTGGTTTGTTGAATTTAATAGGGAACAAGCTCAATCAATATGTCCATTTTACTTCATTTGTTAAATGTGAACTCCTTATCCAAACTGCTTTCGATTAAAATCGCCTAGAAGAGTAGAATTTAAAAATGGTGGACTCTATTGAAAGCTTTATTTTCAAATAGAATGGAATTCACTTAAATTTGCAGATGGGACACGAAACAAACCGGAACGGCATGCAATGACCTGCAGGTGGGACAGAACATGAACAGGAATGATGTGCAAAGGGTAGATCAGGCGGTGGCTGAGCATCATATAAATGTAATGAATTCTGGATGAATTCCCTATTCATGCATATATTCGAGCTGCGAAGCGACAACTGCAGGCGGCTCGAAAAGAACATATACACAACCTCGCGTATTTTTGTCAAGCATGCATGCATCCATCAAAAGGGTCTTCTACTCTTTGGCTGCTCAAAGCTGGCTGGGGCAAAATGACAAATTCACGGGGAGAGGCTCACACCCACACACACACACAACCACAAACAGGCACAACCGCCACAGGAGCTTGCTATGCCTTGTCTTCTCAGCTGCTGATCAAATACGTACACCTCGTACCACCCCTGCAAAGCAGTGCAGTGTGTAGCGGTCTAAGTCAAAGGTCCGTAGTCTTCCTAATACCATCTAGATGATTTGCATCACCGTTAAGCACGCTGACATGAGTAACACATTGCAATATGCTGCAAAACACAGCGTGAGTGAACAAAAACATATCCACCAGCGTGAAATAAGCCCCAAGAATCGTGCCTTTGTCATAGGTGAGGTTGGTTCCCGAGTAGTGAGTAACAAAGTTAATGACCCTTCCAAAATGGTTGGTTCAAGTGGCTATTCTCTTGCAATAAGCCCAAATAAATCCCAAATTTGACACAGAATGGAGATCTCGAACATCACAGCGCCGTCCCCAAACCCCAAGCAATTCGCGGCGGGGTTGCGACTGGGTGCGGGGGAGGCAGCGCCAGGGGAGGTCCGACTTGGTCTGGAAGGGCCGGCTCTTGCTGATGTGGGCCTTCCAGCAGAAGCCGAGCAACCCAGCAAACAAGGCAACATGAGACACATCGGGCAAACCGAGAAACCCAACAAAATGACAACAGTTCACGGCACTCTTTTGTTCCATCACTCGCCTTCTGCAGGTCTGCTTCGCTGCAGGGCGTCACTATGTCCAGGCCAGCCTACGGGAAGGGCATGGGGTCACTGCGACATGTCGTGCCAAATGGGTGTCTCTTTTGGCGGGTGCCCCTTTTTTTGTGGTCTTAAAGGGAAACCAACGGTAAGCCACCATTTTGGGAGTCCCCAAAAAGACACGCCCAAATGGAAAGGACAAGAGTCAATGATCAAAACCTACTCTTCCTCCATGGCACCGCAAAACGGGGCCCCGCTAGAAACAGATCTTCCACAGGTGCTATGTTTGTGTCCAAACCATGTAAATGATTATAAACAAATAACGGCTGCAGCAAGCCTTCATCAAGTTGTCGATTGTGGCTCAAACCTCCGCGTTGCCAAATCAACATAATTTATGGCGTCAAAAATATAGACACTGTTCTGTCCAGTTTCACAAAACGATCCATGCGAGACCAACCATTTACAGAGGCAGTGGAGTTGATACTTCTGGTAGCTGCCTGCAACCCAAAAGGGTCGGTCAAAAATCGGGATGACTTTTGGGACCCTGGTGTTGTTTTGCGCCGCCCTTTGCCCTGGTTCGCAAAGGGGTTCATGTGTACCCCGGAAAGGCCCCTTGGGCGAGAAGGGCAATCTGGCCTTGCGTCCTCCGCCAATCACGTCAACCGTGTAGGTGCCTTAGCAATCGGGGCAGATCTGTGAAGGCCTTGCAAAAACTTTTCAACTCATGTGTCCACCTCCAAGAATGTACCTTGCACGTTGCTTCATCCAATGGAGACAGTCATTTCTTCTTTGCCTTGGGATTAATGAAGTCCTGTGGTTGGGTCAGTGAGGCTCGTGGCATGCATGATGATCCAGCTGGCAAACCAGACAACGAAATGGCAGTCACCAATGCACGTGATTCTATGACCTGATCGGGTTTCCTCAGAGCAACACTGCCAACAATTCCCTGTCTGAAGTGGGGGATGCTGTAAACACAGCTAGACAAAGCAACTTCCGAGAAACCCTGACACTTGTGGAAGACATGAATGCATCCATCATTTGTCACTCTGCAGCACGACACGCGAATATCCATGACATTTGAGCGGGTTCGCGACTAGGTGCAAGACCATTGCATTCAATGCAGCGCACCCTCCCAAAGAGCTGCTCTGGCCTATCGATCAGATTTGCCCATGGCACTCGCAGTTCCTCTTTACAAATGTTCACATGAAACTCAACAAGAGGGTCCCGCAAAGGAGATTTCTCAAGCACGGATGTGTTGATGATGGTCTTGTTGGGATTTGATATAATATGCACGACATGCAGCAACCATGGCTTGGCCTGGCTCTTTTGAGCCTTGAATTCAGATCTCCCCTCTCAAAGGAACTTTCACACATTAACAGGGCAGCAACACATATCAGGAAACTGCTGGAATTGCAGGCTTTGAATTGTCTCCGCTCTGCCCTCTGGCGGCTGAGTTTGTAAGCTGAATTTCAATCAAGTCAACGAGCACCGAACAGGCAAACCGTCTGGCATTCTTAGAAGGTCTTTTATGCAGGTTTTTATTCCGTCCATTTGCTTGCACCAAATGCTAGTGAATCCTCTCAGCAGAAAAACAAATCGGATCTTTGGATGACACAAATCTCCCGAGTTCTGATCCCCAAATGCGGCGCCTCCCTTCGAGGTAGAAGGTCACCGGCGTGCCCTTCTGCACGCGGGCGGCTCGCGCCTCAGAGGCCAAGGTCCTCTGCCGCGAACGCACCAGCTGCATGCGCTGAAGGCACCAAGGATGGATTCTGGATAGGTTTTGGGCTGTGCAATTGTAGTTCATGCATTAATGAGTTTGGGGTCCCATTCGGGGAAGGACAATCTTTGTGAAGAGTGCGTGTGTCCCTTTTGCGAGCGACGCCATTCTTCACCCCGGTAAGATTCCCACGGTCTGCACTTCGACCTCAAGGCCAGGGACCGGTCAATTGCAAATCCTAGAAACAAATTGAAGTCTGTTAAGAACAGACACAGGCTTGCAATGCATATGATACATATCCCATATGCAAATTTTGAAAAACAAACACCCAGAATCTGAAGAGTGAACCATTCATGGAGGGTGAGCGAACATTCTGCTCTGCCAGCAAGGGCCCACGCCCGACAGAGCCGCTTGAGCATGCAGTGCTGTTTGCGTTGGAGCATCAGCACTTGCGAAGCAAGGCGCCAGTCGCTGTTAAACCACAAATGCCGGACTCTCAACTGCAAAAGTGACTGCCGAAAACTTGAAGGGAACTGGGTGTGTCTTTTTTTAGGGGACCCCGGCTTTCCCTTTAGTTTCCCTTCAAACCCACCAAAAAAACGGGTACCCCAGCTTCGGCACATGAGATGGCACGGGTCCCGAGGTGCCCTGGCCTCCGCTCGCATGGAAGGGCTTGACCCGCGTGCGCTGAGAGCTCCCAAATTCTGCCGGTCGGATGAAGGGCAGTGTGTGTCAACCCCTGAAACAAGAGTGAGAGTTCTCCATTGGGTTTCCTTTGGTATCCCAGAAGGCCCATGTACCGCGGCTTATCAAAGCTGGCTCAAACTGAAAGAGCAACAGGACCAAAGTGGTTGGCCATATCTTTGCTCACCTTTGTACCGCAGTGTTGGGGGCACTTTCTTGTTGTGACGCTTTCAAGGGGACCAATCCAAAGGTCGAATCGAATATCCTGTTTCAGCATACGCTAGCCAAGATTTACCCATGATTTCGTGCACGTTGCCGGTTGCAAACAATGTGGCAATGGAAGATATACGTGATAATCGTGCAGGAATCAGGTCTCAGAATCCTTTGCCAAGATTTGTGCCGCGTAAGCACATGCTTGATTGAAGATGCATTACACCCTGCCGAACCTTTTTCCACAATCTTGATTCACCTGTGTGGATTCAGCGAGGGTCCTTGTGTCATACCCTTTCATCGGATCAGTGCCTATGAAGCAACATGATGGCTCTGATATTCAGGATGTTGCAGAACATCCTGTGACGCATACGCCCTTGGCGTTGCCTCCGGACATACAACGATGTTGACAATGATTATTCACTTGCCTGTTTTGATTCGTGATGCTGACATGGGCTCCTCATTCCTACAAACATTTAGGACATGATGCTGTGCTAGCAAAGCACGGGGCATGGCTCCGTTACATCGGCTTCCCAACCAGCCCAGAAACAACCATCTCCGTGACATCAAACACATGAAAGTGGCAACCAAAAGCCAACATTTTGTCCCACAACCATGGGACCCCCTTTTAGATTCTGGATGGTTCTAAAGCACATGGCAAAGAACATCAATTTGGGCCTTGGCTGCCACCTCCTCAGGCAGGCGAATCGCTGGTACAGCCTTCCGCCTTGGAATGATGACAATTTCTCAGCACGACTCGTGCCTTTTGCTGAGGGTACCCGTTTGGGCTGGATTTCCATGGCATACCAACCAACACAGGCGGGGTTGATAAGATTGAGACAAACTGAGAGTTGCACCTCTGCACTTACATTTTTAGTGCAACAATTTGTAGCCAAAGCACAAACTCATTTGCTCCCAGCTCGAAGCCTTCAGCCGGTCTGGTGCTCCCACCGTGTAAATAGGCAACACCAGCCAGCACCCTCAATTTGTATCATGTTTCGAAGGCAATTTGACATGCATCTTTCAGGGCCGTGCTCGCGCTCTCGCATGGCAGCCTGGTGCGCGGCAGGAGGCCTTGCCCTCGGATGCAGCCTGGGTCCCCCTGCATAAGGTAAACAGTCGTCCCTCGGGGATTTTCAGACACGTCCTGCAAATATCATGGTAACTGGTCAAGCATGCACTAACGCACCGCTGACACAGTGAGTACTTGCAAACCAAACATATGGCTCATTTGTTATCATAACACCAACTCGCAATTGTTATGAGGCACTCTCATTGGAGGGATGCCGACTCAACTATCGGCAAAGGTCATTCATAGGCAATTCGACTGAGTTTGTCCGATGTCCCAGACGGCTAAAATAAAATGCAAGTAACACTGCACATCAACTAGAGCCGCACTCAATTTCACGGCGATGACGTACCCCAATCCTGTTTGTACAGTGGGAGGAGGCTAAAAGTCCTGGTCGAATGTACAGGTTCCTCCGTCTCCCACACCACAGGCCCATTCGTCATGCCAAATGCTTCAATGGCAGCACCATAATGGCGCAATCAAACCTAAGTGCTCGAAACTGACTTGTGTCATCTTGCCACGGTCTCAGCATCCAGCAAGGGCCAAGTGCTTCCAGGTTGGCATTGAGGTAGCTGACTTCGGCTTGGTGAGCAAAGTGAAAGCCCAATTGAGCCTTTGCATCTCTTGCGTGGCCCACCTGAGCTTGGGAGTCTCAATTTAGCAACATGCCTGACCAAAGAAAAGCGTCCTCGGCTCGGCTCGCCGAGTTGCTCTTTCCGGTTCGCAGGCTGCTTGTCCGGGTGCACATGGAAAGCTTTGAGGCGGTAGGCCTTCTTGCATTCCTGCTGAGATGCCCCAAGCGCTACCTGAGCAGGACATCAGCAGTCTGACAGCCTACCCTACAGCAGACATGTTCCGTCAATTTCCTGTGCTGCCAAAATTAACCCAATACATTCGCTATGTTCCCCAAACAAGCAGACAAGACATTCACAGGGATATAGCATCAAGACGTACTCAAATAAGTGTTTGCATGCGGCAAAAGCAAGCGACATGTAAGCTTTACTCAGCAAAACATGACAGCTGTAAGAAGCCACGTTGTTCTCCCAGTTGCCTGGTGCTACATTGAGCCAAGTACAACGAGTGCTGCGGCAACCATGCGGTCGCTTGTTACATGCACAAAAACCAACAACGCGTGATTGGCAATAGTTGGATGCGGGTTGGCTGTAAATTCACGAAACGGGGTAGCCTCAAAGAAGTATCCTTTGCAAACATCTTGGAACATTGGCGCTCTTTACCTGCCAACGTCGCATTCTTCCGGCACAAGCGCCCAGCCTCCAGGATTGCTGCGGCGCGGCGGCGTTCGTCCTCGCTGAACCGGTCATCCGCCTCCGCCTCTTCTAGGTCATGACCCGCTGGCACGATTGCACCACTCAATGCAGCGTGGCCAAGGCCAAACGACCTGACTGGCGCGACTTTTGTGCAAATGCTCAATTGGCCATGGCTCCCTTAGCGAACAAGCAACTTGCAAACCAATTGGGTTGTGGAACTTGCAAAGTTGCACCTCAATTCATCTTGAACAGTTAATGACGTACTGAACAAGCTGGCGAGCGAACATGAAGCAGTCTGGGTCGAAAAGAAGGGCGTGGAACACATCTTCCCTTGTACAGACACCTCGGGCCAATCTGTTCCACCCGCAGAGGAGTTGAATAGCAAAGGTTATGGATCTACCACTAATCTTGCCCGTCGACATCAAGCCAACCCGTCCTGACGGGGCTGCTGTATCTTGCTCGCTTTGCTGGAGGAGACCAGTCAGGGCAGCTCTGGCGGCAAGGCGGCGGTGTGGGGCCCGGCGAAGGACACCTCCGGTCGTGGTATTCTCGATATGCTTGTTGCGCCTGGTCCAAACTTGTCAGGACTTCCGGACTTCCTTGTTAAAACCGGCCAACGCTTCACGTTATCTGAACACGGTCATTGCAGGGCGAAACTTGGCGGCTTGGCGCTTTGAACTCCGGAAGCCCGACGTTTCTGACCCGTGCCTGAGCATGCCTCTTCTGAGCACTTTTTTCTTCGTCCTGAAGGCCCTTCCACTCCAAAGCCTCACGCAAGGCCCTGGCACCGTTAAACTTGTGCTCCTTGTACCCTTCCAAGTGCTTCCTGAATGTGCAGGCGGTGCCTCCCCAGCCTGCCAAAGGAAACGGGCTTAAACTGCCAGCAGCTGCAGCCAACACAAGTAGCTGACCGAGCTTTTGTACCCTCTTGCTTCGACTGAAACATTTTAAGTATCAGTATGGCCGCTAAACAACCAACCTTGCTGGTCGAGCAAAACAGCACATGCGCACACATTGCAGGCAAGCACTCGCGCGCATACAGACTGACGCAACAAATGCAAAAACGCAAGCGCAGAAGCGCACAAACAAATACACGCGCACGCGCACACAAGCAAACGACAGAACAACGCGTAAACACGCAAACGCAAACACCGCCCAGCAAAAAAATGGCAATCACTTGAACACACGCATACAAACACGCGCACGCAAACAACCACACACACACACAGCACAAACAACCCACACACACACACGCACACCCACCCACGCAAACTCTCACACGCCCGCGCCAACCCACCAACCAAACCAACCAACAGACCAAGCAAGCAACCAGCCAGCTAGCCAGCCAGCCAGCAAGCAAGCAAGCAAACACATCCAAAAAGCCTAACAACCAGCCAAACAAAAAACAAGCAAACAAAGAAGCACAAGCAGATCAACATAAAAACGAACAAACCAACAAACAAGTATAAACCAGAAAAAAAACACACACGAGTGCATTTTGGAACTCTTGTCCACGTAATGGCCTGTGGGAAACTTGTACTGCTTCTCTAGGTGCTTTGCGAAGGGGTGGAACACGCTGCTAGGGTTCGCCCACTTGTACATCTCATCGCCGAGGGAGTAGATGAGGATGTAACGCTTCTCGGAGGGATCATCTTCCCTGACCGCCCGCGTAGATGCCTTCTGAGCACCTGCCTTGGGGCCTTGGGCAACTTTGGTCCCTTTCTTGTAGTCCCGCACCTTGGTCGGGCTCCGCAAAGCATGGCTTGGTGCGCTGCTGATTGTTCTCAGCTGCTGTTTTATGTTGGCTTCCACCAACACACGGCCACTAGCTTTGACGCACTGCATGCTGCCAAAAGCAGCTCTCATAAAAGTTTTAAAAGCATGCCACCTTTAAGATGGTGACGGAAGCGGCCAAATCAACAGGAACAAACAGCTCCACAACCGCACTCTTCAACACAAAGGCGCGCGAGCAGCTGGAAGCCGAGAAGCAAAAGCAGTGCTGAGGACGTCCCCCTCTGGCCTGTAGAAGTGGCCCCGCGTGCCCTTGAGCAGTTGATCTTCGTCCTAGCGGAAAGTGGGAATCTGAAATAACCTTCACCTAGAATAATGACAGCGAGGAAAAACACCTTCTGGATCCTTTGCGTTGAGATTAGCCAAAGAATCAAGCAGCACGTGTTGTGGCTTGATGTTCAGAGAGGTACGAGCACCACTTCAAAAATCGACGAACAGCGGTCCTGCGGGGGCACGACTACGCCGGGCCAGCGTGGGTGGCCCTCCCAGGAAAACCACACCAGCTCACCGGCAAGGTCGTGCTGCTTCTGAATCCAGCGCATGGCGCTGAACAAAGCGGAGTGGAGGGCCAAAACTGCTGCGGGTAGATCAAGCAGCTCATGGCATTGGTGCCTTGAATTGGTGTCTTATCCACACCACACCGGCCGCCGCTCACTTGAAGGCAAGCCACTCATGGGTTGCTGGCTTAATTGTAAGCAGAGAGGCTGCACCTGTAAGAAGTTGGAAAGAAGCTCTGACACTGCAATGCAGTCCTTTAAAACTAGCCACATCAAGAACAAGTTCAATCTAAAGCACGCAAATGACTTCTCCGGAGATTGCGGATACTTCAGTAACAGCGTAGCACCATTCGGCATATTCACCGACCCCTCTTTGAGAAGGGCTTCTACGCTTCGTTTCCGCCGCTGCAGAACTGCTCACGGACCCGATTCTAAGCACTTGGGTCCTTACAGTACCCTGCCAACAAAGACGGAAGTGCCACTGCACAGACCTTTCCACAACCGTGTCCAAAAGGAAATCAGTCTTCCTATGTTTGGCCTGTGCATTTTCATGTTTGCTGGTGGGAGGGTAGGACGCATGTACTGTGTTGTCTATAGCAAGCGTAAAGCCATGACCGCTTAGATTCTTGGAAATTAGACTGAAAGTTAGTAGGCAACCGTGCTTGCAAGTGTATGCAAGATGGTAATGTTTCGTCTTCACACACAAACACAAACGCGACGTCTGTCATTCCATGGCTCAGCTCTTGTTGTGTCCACACCATAATTATCATACTAGTACAATACCATACAATACCCTTCTCATAGGCATGGCATGTTTTCTTCAAGCATATTGATCATGTCAGCTTGAATGTCTGTGGATCACATGCATCTAATTTTGTCAGCTCGGCCGGACTTAGCGATTGGCAACAGTTTGGAGTGTGTGGACGCTGACGTTGGAACATGGCCGCCTCAATGAAATGCCTTAGTAGTTGACAAGGAGCAGATGGTAGCATGATGTACTTTGGGCTGTTTTGTTTCTAGAATGGCGAAATTCCTTGTTGTCAGGGTGAGCCCAGATTTGCTATCCACTTCAAAGATGCAAATGACCTGGCTATATTGGCGCCATCAGATTTGTTGCAGCATTGCACAGCAGAGGACCCCGAAGCTTCTGAATGCGTTGCTAACATCATAATTTCGGAGAGAGAGAGAGAGAGAGAGAGAGAGAGAGATAGAGAGAGAGAGAGATAGAGAGAGAGAGAGATATAAAGGAGAGCGAGAGAGCGAGAGAAAGCACTTCAAAACCAGTTTTGGTCATAATTCCAGGATAACACCAGATGTAAAAGACTTTGTCTCCCTTTCACCCGAATCCGTCGGACCTGCTTTCCCAGCCTGGGCCTCGGCTTCCTGTTCCAGCGCTGCGGGCAGCCTTTGCACCTGCACAATAGCCACCGGAGGTCAATGTGATGACCGGCGGCCGGCGGATAGCAGTTCCAATTCCATCCGTTGCTCCGTATCTTGAGTTCAACGTGATGGCAACTGACTTCCTAAGACTGAAACAAGCGAGCCTCTACAAAAATTGATTTGGATCCTGCTACCAATTGAGTCTTAAGCCACAAGTCTTGAGGCTTGGATTGTTTGGGCTATCTGCAAGTCACGCCAACAACACGCGTTGGCTGCCGGGTGACTGGGTTCCACATTGCCAAACGATCGTTTGATGACCATGAGCAAAAGGATCTTGAAATTGGCAAACATGTTGAACAATTGTTTTCTCAGGTTGCGCAACTGTGAATAATAATGAACATTACAAACTGGAATGACACCAAGTAACTGGATGAGTGATGACAAAGTAATGTTGCTTTCGCTGCAATAGCGAGGCGCTGACTACTGCCGGCTCTTTCGGAGCATTGCTGAAGCGGGTGCCCGCAAGGTAGTGGTGAGTGATGTCTCCGCTCAAACAATTTACAAACCAAGCTCACCTGATGCACTGTTTCTGTGTCACTTGCCGAAAGACAAATCTGCATCGAAGTAGGTGAGCCGTGGCTTCACTCTGGTTCCCTGCTTCCACCGCCTTGCCAAGGTCCACCGGAGAGGCGGAAGAGCCATCCTCATCATCCTGCGTGAGCTAGGGATGCTCAGAGGGTGCAATCCTAAGGGCCCCCGCCCCGGAAAAAAAAAGAGAGAGGCCAAATTGATACCTTTCACCACACTAAATCAACCGGTTGCACAAGCCGTTGATACCACATGGTTGCATCAACCAAGTAAAACATGCCCGGGCAGGGACTTTAACCCCGAATACAGACATGATCGAAGCACGGTGTACTGAGTTGCTCGGCCGGGAAAGACCATCTCACAATCAACACCCGAAGGGATCCATCGATCTATCCCAAGGCAACTCTTGATTTAGAAACCGCCAAGTCATCAGGGGAAGCTCCCTGATTGATAATTGGGGGGGGGCGGCTACTACTCAATCAAAGCATCTTGGTACATCTGTCGGCTTGGGATCTTCCGAGCTTTCCCAGACGGGGCTGCCCGCGGCGTTCTGAGACTGTAAATGCGGCATCCCTAGTCCGCTATCACTGGAGAAACAGGCGTCCCCTGTGTGATTGTCCTTTTGGCGGGGAACGAACTGGGAAATCATACGATATAATCTTGTAGCCCTGGCCCAAACACCCGTGGTTCATCAAAGGGGGTGTGACAAGTTCAGAGGAAACCCTGCACTTTCGGAGAGCTCCGTCTGGTTGTACAGTTATGCTTTCATCTGGGGTCGACATAACTCGGTTGCTTTCTGCTCCCCTGCTAAAAGCTTAACTTTTAGTGTTTTAATGGAAAACTCATTGGGGTTGGCAAAAAGTTCAAATATTCAAGCAAAATGCACCAAAGATAAGCCTGTTTCGATCTCTCCCCGATCTCCAGCCAAGGGATGTCTCGAACTCGCAGACTGACGTCCACGCCGCCTGCTCCTTGGGACCCAAAAGAGGCTACCGGTTTTGCAGCATCGGACCCTCGAAGCCTCGGTTCCCTTTGGCTTGCCTTTGGACTTCATTGAAAAATAACCATCCCCAAGCGGAACTTCGATGATTTACGCAGCGCTCAGTGCACCCTTTGACGTTTTGGTTCTACCAAAAGACAAGCAGGCCTGCTGCAAACCCCTCGTAAAAGCAGGGGGGCAGAACTCCTCTCAGCATCCAAAAAGGAGGACCTCAATTTGGAAAATCCCATTTGTTGGAATGGCCAAGAGGAGTTTTCGGTGTTTCTCATGTTGACAGCTGTGCCACATCAAATATCGGCACTTACCATTTGCGCGGGCTGCCCATGTTCCAGTAGAATGTGCCCCACGTATCGAGGGGAGTGGCGCGACATAGAAGCCTACATGGTGACCATGTGGCACAGTCAGGGACCTTCCAGGGGTTACATGTCAAAACCAGAACCCTTCCGGTTGTTTAGAACTCTTCAAACCACTGTTTGAACACTCTCCCCGCTTGGTTTCCTTTTCAGGGGAACCATGTAAACAACCCAACTGTCACTTCGGCCTCAAGGTCCGAGGTCCCGGCGAAAGGCGACGCGGTCCTTCAGCTCCTCCCTGGCATTCGGCTCTCATGGGGCGCCAAGTCACTTGCCCTGCGGCTCCCCCTTCGTTTTGCTTTTTATGCGGTCAAAAGGGAAGCCTTAGGCATGTGAAGAGGAAATTTCCTGCCTCCAATGTCTTGGTGGCAGTAAATGTCACACGAAATGTCATGACGTTTTGCCAAAAGTGCAATAGCGGCTACGCAGAATGCTGAAGTCAGTTTGATGTTCCCGTGCCAATGTCGCACAGAACACAAACATTCTTCAGGGTCCGTAGCAAGCAAGCCCGGAACTGAAATCGGACATTGGCAGTCAGAGCTTCCAGCTTCATTGGCCCCAAGTCTGAATCCAATTCCTATGCCATTCAGGTCGTCATGTCGTCATGTCGTGTTTGTTCCAATGCAATCCAATATCCGTCTCTCGCTCGCGTCTAGCCGATTTGCCCAACCCCCCAGGCGCCAAATCATCTCTTAAACCGCGATCCGACCCGAGTCCCGGTTTGGATAAATTCGGGACACCGAAACCTGTGAGATCCATCTGGGTGTCTGTCTTTAGCATTTTCACCCTCAAATGTCTTCTTGGTTTTCCCGCCCTCAACCAAAAAGGAGTACCAAACTGTATGCACCAGAAAGCGGAATATGCAACTTAAGTGGGTTCCCAATTGAAAGCGAAGCGCCAGACTGGGGTCCAGAGCTCAAGACCTCTGAGCGCCCAGCTCTTTGGCACATCCTCGACAGGCATCCGGGGTTGCGATGAGTTGGTACTGAGCTGCGGGCACTTCCAACAAAAGGATGGTACGTGTAGGAGCCTTTCACAGAACCAAGGAACCTATTTACCAACCCACCAAACATGATCCTTTGACAGAAACGAAGTATTCCAAAAGGCGCCTCACCTCCACGTTGGTCGGAGGCTACAGTTTTGTGTAAGCAGATTCGGTGCCTGCAAATGGCCCCCACAAGTATCTGCAATCCGTGTAGCCGCTAAAAGTCGGCGGACTTTGCAAGCCTCAACATGCTCACAGGATGTGGTGTCCGTAAGCCTTGACCTGTTTTGAGGCAAGCTGCGTTGTTCGGACGCTAGACCCCTCACTTTTGCAAAAGCTGGAATCCATTTATCACGGCGAGCCGTTCATGCTGTTTGTATCTTTATACAGGAGCGCATCTTAATATTGGCGGTCTGGACGAGGGCGCTTTGAAAGCGAGCAGTACTTCAGATGTATGGGAACGACCTGTGCAGGATGTTGTTGACATGTCTTGTGGCCACGTGTGTTTCATTCCAAGTGAACAAATGTAGGTCATACGCAAGTTGACAGTCGCCATAATGCATGCATGGCCTCAGGCAGTTTCGCTCGGCAAGGCTTGGTTGCACTGCTCACTCATATGCCTGCAACATCTTGAGACTTTCAGGTCTGATGGTCATGCATGTCACTGCATGCGCGAGAGGATCAACTTTGTTCTATTCAGGAGACCTGGACTCTCTAGTCTGCGGACAACTACTGGGGTGTCCTCCTCCTCGGCTCTTTGGAGTCCTAGCTGCGGCTTCAAGAACCCGAGTGTGTCTTAAAATGTGGGAACCCCCAAAATGGTTGGTTTCTTCTGGGTTTCCCTTTAAGTTCAATCCCAACAGGGACAGACCAACATTGCAAATCGGAGAGTGATCTGCCTGAGCTCCGGCCATTCTACTGTACCCTTCACGCTGAGAGCAAGTCACCAACTTGCTCTCTTGGGCAAGAGAATCAGCATATGACTTCTTAGTCAACGGGTGTTCCCTCGGGCGACGCATATCTAATATGTATTTCATCATTCAGTCAACCATGCGATGGAGCATGCAAAGTTGCAACCACTAGTACTACATGATGAAAGACGCAAAGGTACCAAACAACCAGCAGCGCATGTTGTTTCCCCAAACATGATCTTGATGCTGCAAGACAATACGAGAGAGACAGAGAGAGCGGATGCTCAAATTGAAGCGGGTCAAAATATCGGCGAAAGTGGCAATCCTGCAAGACAAATCCAAACATGCAACTGCACTCATTCATAGAGATGTTCAGCCATCTTCAGAAGGTCACTCATCAACGCTCCAACGACTCTTTGTCAAAGGCACAGCTTCCCTAAAGAGTTGACAGTGCTTTACCCCCAACGTCGTGTTGATTCAAACTCTACCTCATCAACCGTGCATCGCGCAAACATGTACATGTATAAAGATGGTCCAACGACGGCGTCTTGGCGCAAGGGAAGAAGTGTGGTCTGTGGTAAAGGGAAACCGGATGAAACTACACAAACATTGCTACCCTTGTTCTTTCATAATATTTTAGAGGCCGAAACAACAATGACAAAGCGAAGCCCGTCCTGTGATGAACCTCCAAGTG